TCTGCTGGGAGCACCGCGTGCACATCTCGGCTCTCCTCGTGCATGCAACAGCATGGCTGCCAAGCTGTGATCTTGCTGCTTGAGTTCAGAAGCTAAAAGGCAGACCTAGATTTGAGGTCTCTGATTGTAGACCGGCTGCAAAGCTGAAAACATTTCTAAAGGAGGTCAAGTTATTCAGAGGAACTTCACCAAAAATATGTGCACAGTGTCTTCCCCGTCAGCGTTTCCGTGGACGCTCAAAGCAAAAAGACTTAAGTAAGAAAAAGCAGAGCTATTCCAGCACGCAGTTGCCTTCTTGGGGTTGGGGAAAGGAAGTCGTGAACAGCGTATCGGGGCAGCTCTGCTCACACAAAGGTCTAAAATAGTTTTCTTAAACTGATTTGAGTTCTGTGATGGGCTGTGGGCGTCTGCGGCACAGAGGCTGAGCTATGGTAGTCCCCTCTAAAAATAAACAAACAAAAAAATATCTTCCAGGCCCAAACTCTTTAAAACTTGGTGTGTTTAGATTTAACCAGAATATATTTCTCTTACTCTCAATGTGATTTCCTTGGAAACGATGAATCAAATACTGCATCGGTGGAACTTGTTGACCAACTATGTGGAACCAATTCAATCATAAATGCTTCAGTCCATGCAGGAAAGTTTTGAGGTTTTTGTTGAGGCTTTTTTTGTTTGGGTTTTTCTTTTTCATTTCTGTGAGTTTTATTCAGCAAACTGTTTGTTGAAACTTGGGGGGGAAAAAAAGTGAGGAAAGCTATTTTTCTCATACAGTCTAGGAATAAAAGAAATCCAGAGATGGACTCAGTTATTTCTATTCACCATCTCCTTGAGTTCTTTAGAATTAATAGATGTTATCTTCTGATTGCAAAATCCATTGTATGTCTAAAACATCAGTTTTAAGTTCAGAATATGTCTTGATGCATTTATTTTTCTGAAATGTGTGCCACACCTCAGTGTTAATAACTAATTTCACTATTGTCACTTAAAACTGAATTTCACGAAACAGTCAACTTTAGCAAAATACACCGTTCCCTCATGTTGTGATAGAATATAAAACTCCATGTTTGTTCTGTACAGTTGCTCAGAGACTGTAGATTTAAGGGGGTTTTTTTGTTAATAAAACATACCAAATTCTTAAAGTGTTGCAGTGAGAGATGAAAATCAATGCATGTGGATCCTAATTGTTCTAGAGAAATAGCTGAAGCACAAATGCAGACAAATCTTTATATTGAGGGCTTCTGCTAGTAAAGTCAATTTAAAATAATAGAGTTAAATTAATCTACCCTGCCAGGCCTGTGGCTGTATGGTACCTAAAAAAAAAGTTGTGGATAAATATTATCTTTATAGTCCTTTGCAGTAGGCAGTGTTGGACTTGTGTCCTAAAACACTTTTCTACTAAGAGTTGGATAACTCTTATTTCCATGCATTTATTTAAATATATTTAAATGTGTTGGAATGATAAAATGCAGAGGAGTTTTGCTCAAATTTGATTTTTCAAGTACAGGTATTTGGGTCTAAACATCTTGAAAGTGTTTTTTATTTTTTTAAAAATTCTGAGCAGCTGCCTCCGTGGCAGCGATTTGTCCTTTGAAACGTACTGCACATCGGCAAGTTATGTGCATTTTTCCGTGCAGGTCTTTAAAAAAGAGGCCCTTTTATCTTCAGATACAATTTATTTAATACGTTGGGAGAAATGCCTCACTGAACAAAATCAGAGTAAGCTTTTCATCTGACTAATAGTTACTTGTCTGGGCAAATCCCAAGGTAGATAATTTTATGATGTGTGGATCTAGAGAGACTTATTCTTGATTAGGTAAAGCTTAGTGCCAGAGTTCTGTTGCAGACTCTAGCAGAAGGAAACTTGCTTTCCTGATGATGATTTGAAAGAGTAGTTTTTGTTGATGGCTGCTGTGAGCAGGAAGCTGAGGAGGTAAAGCCAGAAACCTTATTTTGTTTTCTGTTCAGGCTGCAGAAGGAGAGGGGATTAAGTTAAATCATCTGTGCATCTTGAATAACAGACACGTTCAGATCTGGCAGTAAGAATACCTGGACTTGTTTGCCTGCATATTGCTTACTTTGGCTTTTCCTTTTTTCTCCCTACTGCCCTTTCTGTGTTGTTTGTTGTTGGTTTTTTTTTTCTTTCTTTCATGCAGATCTGGGTGAGGAAAACCAGTGACAGCACAAAGATGCGAATCTACCTGGGACAGCTGCAGCGAGGTGTTTTTGTGATTCGGCGACGATCAGCTGCGTGACTGTGTGCTCTTCCTTGGTCTTTCTTTTTTTTATTTTTTATGTTTAACTGATAGACGAACCTCTAACGAGGAATGGCAGTCCGTTCACTCATCTTAGCAGCAGAGAACGCTGTCATGACCTCTTCCAAGACAGTTTGTGGCTGGCCACATAATCCCCAGTAGTCCTTAAATCTTTAGTGATACCCAAGCACTGCCCTGGACTATTTCTGGATTTTTGTGTCGAGCTTCTGTATGCTTTCTTTATATTTTGGGAGACTGTTTAAGAAGACTTTGCATCATACTTCTTTCATGGTTCTGTGGTGCGTAGATGGGACTTGTCTGTTGAAACCAACTCTTATGTTTTGAATCAGACCAACGGAAGAAGTTTTGATCGTCGAGACCTGAGGTTATTCGTTCTTTTTGGGTTTGTTTTCCTGCGAGACTCGGGATGTTGGGCAAAAGGAGGTTAATCTTGCCAGCTTTCAGTGGCAGCTGAGAGATACATCTGTAATACCTGGTATACGATGTCAGCTTTACTGGATGAACTGTTTAAACACTTGAGCGCTGAGACTTTTTTTAGGAAAGTGTGAACAGCTTAGAAACTGCTGAAAATCCAGTTGATTTTAATGTAGTTAAACAGTCACATGGGGTTAATCAGAAGCTTCTGTTTCTCTACACGTCAAAAAAAACCCCTCAATGAGCAAGCAGAGAGTATATCTAGTTGCTGAAGTAGTTTCCTGAAATAGGTGGATGAGTGTAAACTAAAGGATTAATTAACTGGACTTTTCAGATAGTGAGACTATATGAACTTGTGTGTATAACCGCTCCTACTCGTAGAGGGGTGAAAGGTACATTTTACTTCCTCTAACGATGCTGAAGAGTTACAGGCCATGCTGGAATCCTGCTGACAGAAGATACTGGATCTGTTGGATCTTCCAAAGAAGCTTGGTGCAGAGTAGAAAATAACATTGACACGGCTTCTGGTGTACAGCTGAAAAACCTGCATTCCCTCATGTCACGTAAAGGTTTCCTTTTGAAGGGTATTTTAATTACTGGAGATAACATTGGGTTTCTAAACTTGCCCTCCAACAGCACAAGTGAAAATGTTCAAGTGAAGATATTAATGTGCTCCCTTCCGAGGTGTTTAAAGATCTGACTCTGGCGTTCCTTTATTATTCCCAGTCTTTTGCTGATGGCTGAAACCACCGACACCACGTGCAGGTGCAGCGGTGCAAACCGCGTGGTGCGCTGGCAGTGCTGCCAGGTCTCTGCCTTCGGTGCAAAAGAACTTTGTGCTCCTTCCAGTTACTGGGTAACAAGTTTGTAATTTCTGCCTTTATCAGTGTCTGTCCCTTTGAGGTATCTTCTGGTTTTGCTTTTGAACTGCCTTCTTGTTTAGCATCAGTCTAGCCTTTCATATCTGGATAAATGGAGCATTTTAAATGACTGTTTCCATTTGTTTGACTTACTGCAGTTGGGTGGCGGTCACATCCCAGCAGCTGATGTCTCTGTGTGGCTCTGGAGTGTTACGGCCAAGTTTCCAATGTGTTGCTTTTGTGGCTGAGACACCTTACCTATTTTTGCTGTGTTCTGAGTTTCAGCTGGAGCTTTGGTGAGGAAAGGAGAGGGTGTGTGATTCCCACCCCTTGAGCACGTGCCATCTCTGCAGCGTTAGGCGGAACGCAGCAGGCGGTATTTTGTCAAGTTAACGGCATACTTAATACAACTTAGCATTCCCTGCACGTGTGACAGGTTTTTAATAAGGTGATGATGTACCAAACAGGATTTGTCACTGAGCCTTAAAACGAACATCGTAGTTCTTAGAAGAAAAAGTGCTAAGTAAATAGCAGGATTTATTTCCTACCTGTGTCGTTTTGTCAATATATATGCTCTGAAAAGAGCTGGGAACTTTGGTTCGGTTTTGGGGAGATACCTTGCCAACCTGCTACCGGCAAGGGATCTCTCTGTTGCTGTGATGTTATCTGTTATTGACTACGTTATTGATACGTATTATCGATAGAAGTGTGGCAGTGCAGCAGCTCTCCTGGAGCCGGGCGTGGTGTAGGTGCACATTGTGTCAGCTCAAGGACAGAGCTTTGGCACCACATCTCTAATCTGAACCAAGGGCGTCTGCTCACCAGCCCTGTTCCTTGGCAGAAGCAGGAAAAGAATCGCTGCTCGCGCAGCCGCAGGCCCGTCTTTGTCCTCTGTGGTCTTGTGTGGGGGTGTGTGATGGAGAGGTGGGTTACCCAAATCGATACAATCAATTCAGGGCAGCGCTTCAACCTGGAAGTTGTCACAACTTGATCTGCAACTCTTACTCTACTCTTTCACACTGACTTGGGTTCTCCAGGAAAGATGCCTGAGGTTTGTACGTCCTTCTGCCCGAGTGCTCTGCCCACTGCTGTTTTCCCCAGTGCCCCTGCATCAGCCTTTGAACTGGAATTTCTGCTTTTGGCAGTCCTGAGTGTGGATTTGTAGCCTTCTTTGTTCAAATTTAACTGCAACCCTGAGCTATTTTAAGGCTTCTTCATCCTTAGTTTCTTACTTTAATGAAACAGAGGTCTTTCTCGCCTTAGTTGATCACCACAGAAAGTAGATCTGTCTCCTCTAAGGAAGAATGTTAATATTGAATCCTGTTTTTTCCGTTTTTCAGGCAGGCTGTTTGTACTGGCCTCTGCCATTGACGAGGCTGGAAATGATAAAAATGCAGTGCCTTATTGTGCACTCAGGGAAGCAGTACTTTTTTTATTACTAGAAGGATGCTCAAGGTGTGTTGCAGTGAGGAGGAGGCATGTGGAGATCAAGAGTATAGACATCAGCTGTAGAAATTAAGATTTCCTGCCAGCGGTTGAAAAAATAGAAACAAGTTACTCAAGGAGATGGACAAGGTCTTGCTTAAATTCCAAGAGAAAATTGGGTTTTTCTGTCTGCTGTTTGCCTGTCTAACATCAGTCTTTTGAAGAATTCAAGCCCTCAGTGAACAGAAACGGCTTTGCTAAAGGTATGAAAAGATTTAATCCTCATGAGCAGCATTTAAAAGTAAATTTAAGAAATGGTTTTAACTCCCGGTTACAGTAATTTTGAAGAAAGGTGAACCTTCTGCTAAAAATAGGCTTTTATGGAGGGCTAAATTGTCGTTGGCTGTTGACTCATATTAAGGATTTTTCTGATTGCCTCGAGAAACGGACTGTGACGTTGATCAAGTGCAAGCTAAAGAAGGTTCTTGCCCCTCAGCCATTAGATGTTCAAAAGGAAGGGAAGCCGGATCAGCGAGCCAACTGCCAGTGGCTTTTTGACATCATCCGTGCTGAAAGGTTTCAAAGAGGCTCTTTTCTTAAGATGAATGCTAATAAAACACATTGTCTTTTTTTTTTTTTTTTTTAAGCTTATCTACTTTGTCTGGAATTTTGTAAAGAAACAAAGTGATCTAACAACAGAAGTCTTGACCGATGGTAATTTTTCATTTGTTACTGGGCCATTTACAAAAATAAAGCCTAAAATAGCAACAAATTGCTGTGACCGTTGTGAATAACTGAGGTCCTTCCTCTTTCAGAAAAATTAAAATACCTTTTGGATTCTTGTTCCACGGAAGTAAACAGCGAATGCTAAATGGTGAAGAAAAATCCGAATGGGTGTTCCAGGTTTGCTGTTTTAGTTTGTCCAATTCCAAACGTAAAAAATTCACGTGCGTTAAAGTATTTTTGGAAAAACAAAATAATGAGTATCTTCATTTTTGTGTTATTTATTGAAAACCTGTGTCACTGGAACTTCCTATTGCGTTCAGTTCAAGAATTCCGCTAGTAGTGTTATGCTGAACTTGGGAAACACCCCTTTGATATTTAACATCAGCTCAATTCTGGGATGCCAGAGTGTCTCGTAACACCTTAAGTACCTTTCTCATTACAGTGGAGTCAATCCTGGTATTTCGATTCCTCCTTTTTATGCATGAACGCTTTTCTCTAAAACATTCTTGATTTGAGTTTAGTTAATAAATGTATGTAAAGAAATGTTTGGGTTTATATTACTTTACCGAGAACCAAAAAAAAAACCACATAAAAGGCTTTGGGTTTGTTTTGGTTTTCCCCCCCTCTGATCAGATATTAAGAACTAGGTTTAGAGGAGGGTGGCTCAGGGGAAACTTTGTACCCTGGGACCAAAATTTAAATAACATTTAGGTGACGAGAGACCTGAACACAAAATATTTTCAGTGGGGTATGTGTAAGCAGGGTGAGTGTCAACTTGCCTCAGTATAAAAAAGATACAGGAAGGGTTAGTTAAGCCTTTGGTTCTAAAATAGCGATGCTTTGAGCAAAGCTTTTGGGGCTTTGGAACCAAGGGCTCTGACCCCCTGGAAGCAGCTACTGATTTATTCATCTGAAATTCAAAACCTATCAGTTGCCCCAAATGCTTAAGGTAGCTTTTGTCATTTTTCATTTAGTTCTAATTTGCATCCAAGTGTCCTGCCCCAAATCCTGAGAGGGGAAAAAAAGAAAACAAGTAATCAGAATAGTTATGAAACATCCGTTTTTCATTTCACTTTAACAATGTTCCTTATTATTGTTTATTGAGTTAGGTTGCTTTTGACAGCGACGGCTGCCTGCAGTTCTCTGCTATTTTAATGGCCACCCCAGTTAACGAAAGCTAATGATCTGTAATGACAATAAATACAAATGCGAGTGAAGGTTAGAAGGGGTATCTTAAACCAGGGTTTCTCCCTGATGGTTTAAAGCAGTGACAAAGGTGTTGGTGAGCAGATGATGGTGCTGACTGAGCGTGGGCTTGGAGAGTGCTTGGCTCGGGATGGGTGGATGCTGCTGCATGGCTGTTTGCCTCAGAAAATTAAAAGGTAGGTGGAGTTTCTTTTATTTGTTTGTGGTTTGTTGTCTTTTTTTTTCCAGAGGAGTAGTGGGTATCTGGCAAATAACTATTTGTCACACGTCCCCGTTGAAGCAAATAGGTGGAGGTAGCTGCTGGTCATGTCAGAATACCGAAGAATTACTCATTATGGGGAAGAAACGTCCTTTTGCCCATGAACTAAATTTTAGTAACAGTACGTAATAGAATGTTTTTCTTTTTTCTAATGGCATTAAGAAGCAATGTTCCAGACCTCGTACATCATGAGGCATTGGGTAGTGGGGAAAACTCTGAATACTAATGATCCTAAGTCATGTAATCCAGTTGCACGGTAATAATATAAACACAGGAGGCAAATATCCTGAAGAAATCTCATCCC